GAGTGGCGTCGTGAACAAGAAGAACCAGATGAAGCAGTGGCGGAAGAAGCTGATAATGATAGGCAGTTAGCTAATCAATTCCAACATGAATTAGCTGTTACCTATGAATGAAGGCGAAATACCTATTGTTATCCAAAGCGCAAGTTAAAAAAAAACCAACGTATCTTGTGTAAGGAAACAATTTCCACTCAAAGTAGCGTATGCATTAACAATACATAAAGCACAAGGTATAACTGTGGACCAACCTGTTGTGGACATTGGATCTTCAGAATATGGCTTAGGTTTGTCCTACGTAGGCCTATCAGGAGTTAAGACATTTGAAGGCCTGCTTCCGGATCCACCATTTTCACTAGACCGATTGATGTCAATTAACAGACACGGATCTTGGGCAAAGAAGAAAGAAGCTCTTGACCGTTTAAACGAAATGTCAAATACACATGTCTAATAACCTTTTATCAATTCTTATTCTTATTCTTAATTGAATAAACGAACTATCAGATAAATTTTCATTCTTTAGAACTTAAATATTATCGGGCAAACAAACGGTGAATCTGTTGAAAGGGAACATATTGTAGGTTGTTAGCTGCTTTAGCCATTGACAATCTTTAAATAATGCTTCGCTCATTTATGCGTCTAGAGTGTAACGGCAGACCGCCCTAGTATATATTGTGATGATATGATGTATTTTTATTGCAAATTGGGTGAAATGTGTAGTTGTTTAACTGTTGTGCTAGTGCCTGGTCGACCCTAGCATGTTGGAATTAAGAGCGTGCTATCTTCTGGTGCCGTCATAAAATGGCAATTTTATTGTTGGGGTACCAGAGGATGGAGATCTTTACCCAGACCAGAATCAAGCCAAGCCAGCTTTGGTTACATTTTAGCTAGAACATTCAATTTTGCTAGAACATTGAACTATAATAGCTAACCTTCCAAACTATTTGAAAGAATTTGATTTTAGAATAGATGTCTGCAAAGAAATCTGTGGTTCACATATTGAACACTTGTAGTATATAGGAAAAAACTTGAGCTTTTTATCTTAGAATGGTGAATGTTACTCTTTCTAAGTCAGTAAAAACTTCGCAGTAATTTTTAAACAAAGTTGTTTACTTCTTTTAAGTACACCCGGTATTTAATATTGCCATCGATATTTTAAAAACGTGTTTAGATATTTTCACAGTAATAGATTAAGTGCTTCAAATTCTAAAACACGGAAGTATGACGTAATCCTGTTAGAACCTAAGCACCATTCTTCATTCTTATTTCAGAAAGTAAATCGTAAAAAGAGCTAATGTAATGTGTTAGAGACAAATATAAATCAAACTGAATCCAGCTCAGAGTCTTGTTACACTAAAATATCTGGTCGATTTGCAGAAGTTTGTTTGAGCGGTAAAGTTAGATTGATTGTCCCTTGTGTGACATGAGATGACGCCGACTCCTGTGTCGCAGTGAAGGACCGGGCCCACCGACGCTGTCTATAACATGACAACTTTCCCCGCAATATAAGGCGTTTGTCTCGGAATTGTGTTTATTTCCGCAGTTGTCTGCAGAATTAATAACGACCACAACGTGACTTGGTAATTTCCTCGCAAGGAACAACTCGCCACAAGAACCAAGAGCATTGTGTCGTGTGTCGTAACACCCATGTCCCACACGCTGATGACGCAGCTTTGTGTAATACATCTTTTTCTAGTTATTAGAGGACAGAGGAAAGGTGTACAACTTATTATTTAACCGAGTGTTTTTAGAATCAACTGATATTCAAACAAAACCACTGGGTATTCGAGTGGATAAAGTGGTCGCTTTGTAATCTAAAGCAGTAAAGCGTTTGACTCGTGGAACGGTAAACTACTTTTGACTTAAATCCAGCCACCCTTGATTATTTAGCTTTTAATAAAGTTGCAGTAATCAAAACATGGGTTGGTCAGTAATGTAGCTGTTATCTTATTTATTTAATCTATATCCTTCACTAATACCCGATTTATACTGTGTGCACTTGTCGGCATCACAACTACCTAAAATATAGTCATACGTTTAATGGTTTCTGTGTCTTATAACTTAGGTAATCTATATTTACTTATTTAATACGCAAGCAGGTTTTTTGTGACAATTACTCCTCCGAAACTACTGAACCGATTGAGATGTTTTTGGTGTCATTGGAAAGAGCGTAACGTGAAGTTGTGCAGGAAACTTTATTTTTAGGGAAATAATTAGAGAGTGAGGCCCTGGAGCCCTTTAAAGTTTCGTTTTTTTCCATAATATTAACATGGGAACCAAAATTGTTATGAAACTCCAGCTGTTGTCAGAAAATAAAAGTGAGAAGAAGAACATATGTTAATTGTACACAGTCAATAAGTTTGCTAATTTAACAGTTTGCTACAAACATTTACTGACTTGGTTGAAATGGAATATTTACTATTTGAATTTGGGTTGGCGTAAATATTACATTGGAAAAAAGCAAGAGAGCCTAGATAATTTGATATACTAAAAAGAAAACTGATTTAACACTGTGGTGCATTTCTTAGTAATCATTGAAGCAAACTATGGAAAAAGGAAAATCATAGAACACCACCAAGGAGAAGAAAAAGAAACAATGTTTTTTTTATTTACAATCATTATTATGGACAACCTAATGCGGCTATAAGTATGCCTATTTGTAGAAAACACTAAAAAAACAAGATCAGCTTTTGAAAAATGATAAGATATTTACATGACATGTTGATTATATTGATCTGTTTTGTACATCTTGAGTATTTCCATAATCTTTGAGTGGAATATTTTAAAGACATCAGAAATTATGACTGATATTCGTTTTAAATTAACACCTGTAATACTTAGCAATTGCTCGAATTCGACCAACAGGGACACTAGTATTTATTGGTTTCGTAAAAGGTTTTTTTTAAACAGTAAATTGTTAATTGGTCGTGTTTAATCAAATAAATAGTTTTCAGTAGTTTAATTTTTTTTATTAATTAAAAATTCCTCCAATGATAGATAATGCTAATTATACAGGAGAATCTCATCTCTCAGTTTAACAACTGTTCACCTTTAGCTTCTGTTTGCTGCTACTGACACGTCAAATAAAATATTAAATGAGGCGTCGAGAAGCCAAGGGAGATATGTGACTTTTTAAAAAATGTTATTGTATTTTTTTCATAGTCATAAAAAATAAAATAAAAATAAAAATAAATTCACTTATACCCCTTGGCTTCCAACTCTTAGGTGTTTAGTTTGGAGGCCAAGGGATATAAGTGAATTATTTGTTGAAATTCCACCCTTTTTTAACAAAACCCGTTACCATGACAACATTTTTTAAAAAGTCACATATCTCCCTTGGCCTCTCGACGCCTCAAATACAAGTCAGTTTTTTTTTACAAATTGTCAATGTTTAGAGGATTTATGTTTCTACTATGTCCCAAGACAATATCATATATGATATACAGTTACAAGTTATACTTAACAAAAATCAATTATTATCCTTTTCGATAAACATTGTTATGAACACGCTTTTGTAGCTTGCTAACAATAAATTGCTATTTAACCTAGTTCACAACCACTATTGTCTCAAAATGTTGAATATCGAATATAAGCTACCTAACCACTAGCTCATAAACCATAGCTTATTCAGCTCATAAACTATGTTCGCTGCTTTTAGCTCTTTAAAACAATCCAAAATACTAACCTCTTGGATGAATGTATAATTATTTTAAGGGAGTTTTTAATGTTGCTTTGCCTGTTTTGTGACTTGATGTAAAAACTGCATACGCAAGAAATGCATAAATAGTAAGCTGCAGATGCAGTGCCTATAACCTCCCATTATTGCATGCAACAGTCGTGGGACCGTGACAAGGACAATAAACGACGAATGGTCGCAACATGACAATAAAACACACTGACACAAATCTAGCGTGTTGGCCACGGCTACAATGTCATATCCAGTACGAATAACACAGTATCATACATGTTCAAATAGTACTGCAGTCAATCTTGATTATATTAATTTTAATATAACATGCATTGCAGGTAAGAATGGTATATAATTTACCTGTTTATACTTTATACTTTGTTACTTTATTACCCTTCTCGAGCTAACGTGTCTTGTTCGATATTACCAATTTTCAATGCTGTTGTATTATTCCGTCTGCGTTTAAGTATTCATGATGTAGGGCTTACAACTATTTTAATTTAAAAACCTACCTTAAAGGTAAGATTCTTGGTTTGGAGAGTCTGCATACCCATGCGTGGCAGCTCTTTACAAGTGGTTTGATAACAATTAAAACATGTTTTGTATAGGTTAAGTGTTTCTGTAAAATAACGTCTATTTAAGTTTCCATACCGTACAAGCGTTCATACTGGTTGCTATTGATTTGTATTTAATTGGTCTTAACCATTGACTTTGGATACTGAAGTATCTACATCAACCAGCTTAAGTCAGTCTTTCGCAGAAAGAGGACAACAGTAGGTCGATGAATATCTAACAGAGAATACTGTAGGAGTTCGACATGCGCTGTTAGTTTGTTGTACGATTATTGATAAGGGGAAATAGATGCTATAAATAATAGTAAACTTTTTGGTTTTGTATTATTAAAGGTTAGATTATAGTCCATAGATTATACAAAATTACATTTTACAGCACATCTTTCTACTGATAAGCCGTTGAACTCCTCAAGTTCTTCTTTGTAATTTTAAAACAACTCTAGCTCGGGATTGATTATTGCTTCACTGCAGTACCTTATAGCTAAACTTAACTCAAGTGGATTGCCAGCAAACAAAGAGCTTAGTTGGAGCGAGCACGTCAATCTGTGTAGTGTGTAGGTCGGCGCCGGGAGATGTGGCGAAGTGAGAGGGAGGAAGCTGAGAACATCTCGGGGTCGAGCCAAGGTCTCACATTAACATTGCATTCCATTCCAGACCATATCTGCACATCTTCCTAGCCTAGCTGTCCACTATATGTCAACTGATGGTACTACAAAGATAATTAAACTATTACAACTGTGTTGCAGGGACAGAGGGTGAGATCGTCTCCCGACATCCCAGTCACTCAGTTCTCATGTGCAGGACGACCCCCGGGCTACTACGCTGACGTGGAAACTGGCTGTCAGGTGAGAATACCCTCTCACTAACTGACCAGTAGATTGAATAAGAAAATACAAAAAATTATATATTACAATGTTGAAAAAAAAAACGTTCGTCCTGGGCAAGGTTCTAATGAGACTGTAATAGCGTATTCCCTAAATTGGAAATTCGCTAACAAAAGCATTAATTATTTGTTGACGAGAAAACATCTACCTAGTGTTATTCCTTAACCAATATTTGGATGCTTCTAGGTTGGAAGAATCAAATGAGAATCAATTCACAGAGCAATGGCAACGGAAGCTTTGTGCTAAATAAAAATTTAGCAGGCTTTGTTAAATAAAATAATTCCCGGAGATGCTTGAGGGCCTTGTACTGTCCGACCTTCTTCCAACTCACAACGCTTATTATTGCACTGATTAAACAAAAACTGATTTGTGCCGAAATGGTTTTTGATTACCCCTTAATGAGTTACACCTATTGCTGACATCATGGATTGATCGTGCATTAATTCGCCAAAGAGTTCCTTAATTATTGCGCCAAGCCCTCAAAGTATCTCAAAATACACCTTACTTGCGCCAAGCCCAAGCCAGGTGCAGGTAAGTTGCCGGCAGAAGGAAGAAGGAATGTCCTTGTTTACGTGTCATCCTAACCTAACCTAGCCTTACCTTACCTGACCTTGCCTAACCCAACCTAAAAAAACTTAACCTAACCTAACCTACTCAATTATACAGTAAACGAGGGTGGCCACTAGGTGCAGTCGGGTAGATCCCTGGCGTAGTTGGCGTAATTCAGTAACCAGATTACCAGACTCAGGCCAGTTTGCGCCATTAATGCCTGCCCCATGGGTTAATGTGATTTAATACTGACCTAATTACACGGATTAAAATCTGAATGTTAAGATAATAACAAAACAGTTGGTTAACCTAGTTTATATATAAAAATGCAATTCATTGGCAATATTATCCTCTTGTGATGTGCTGCTCAGAGTTGGATTGCCAACACAATTTAATTATTGCAAGGGAGGACGTTGGTCTCTGTCAACAATACACTAACACATATACATATACATATTGTGGAAGGGTACAAGGGGTACACTACATATCAGCTTTGCTGTAGAGTGTAGACCGCACGAAGTCCTAATCTCGAAGTCCAGCAACAGGGGATATGTTTAATGAGCGTCAATTAGTTAATACTCCTTTTATCTATGTTAATACGTTATGGGAAAGCAGCATATACAAATATTCTTTCTACTTGTAGCTAGCACGAAACCTTTTCAAAGTAAAAGGCTAACGATTCATTATCAAATCCAGGAATGGTCGAATTTGTTATACGAAAATGAATTTCAATGGAGGTGACTTCAAACAATTTCAAAACTCAGAATACTATAAATATTACAAAGTCCTGAAAATTTGTACCTGTACATATTTTAACTTATTCCACAAAAATCGACTTTTATATCTTTTTACAGTTTTACCATTGACTACACACCTCTACCACTGACTGTACGTACACCTATAGACCGTAGAGGTGTATAGTCAATGGTTTAACTAAAACATTCATTAATTATCAATGGGCTTATCAATGAAAAAAAAGCAACCATAAAACTAAACAGGTCATCTTACACCACTCTAGACTCATCTTCTACTCACATTAGGGTTAAAATAGAGATCGATGGGGTCCCAATTACAATGATTGATAATTGATAAATATTGATAAAAATCCGTGACAGTTGCAAGTAAATAACTCAAAATTCTTTAGGCCGTGATTTATTAGGTTTCATGAGAATTCCATTCATTTCCAAGCACAGCAATAACGGTTATATTAGAATATCGTTGAAATACAATATTAAAACTAAGAGCATGGACGTACTATCATCAATCTACCTTACTTTAAGCGAAGATTAGTACATTTTCATTATCTGAGTTCCGATTATTTGTATTGACTTCGTACCCTGCGATAAAAAAATACTTCTCTATTTATTAGTTAAGACTTTTTAAAAGTTATTTTTCAACAGGGGTCAATATCTTAAGGTACACATCACTCCTATTTGACTCTAGTGTTAAATCTGACTATTGCAATCAATTGGGAAAATTTTAAGAGCATTAATTTTAGTGCCAAAAATCGTATAAGGTCATTTTTTATATGTTGGTGTGGTATATGTCAAAGGTTTTAAGTGTCCCTATAACTTACCATAGAAAATGTTTGATTAAAAACTATCTTGTAAAGCCAAATACCCCCGCCGCAGAAAACCTGCAGACTAAGCAAATTTCCATTAACCTGATTGGATTTACACTAAGATTCCTCCATAAAAATATCACATTTATTTCCTATTTAAATAGAATTAGTTTAACGAGTACTTAGGTTTGCTGCAACAGGTAGGGTAAGTTTTTTTATGTTAATAGTTTAAGAAGAAATTAAAGTATTTTCCAAATTCGATAAAAATATGTTCATAAACAAGCAAACTACAACAGTTGACTTAATCTCCATAAGAATAACATGGGAATTTTAAATTTACAATTTTTTGGAATTTTCTCCGTAACCATAATTCGCACAACAACACTTCAATATACTAAATTATTTGTTTTTTAAGCTCTAGGCCTACAAAATGGTTTGGAAATAAATTGTCAAATCTTGTGTTTTTAGGGTCAAATATGGGAAAAACCTTTTTTTACCCCATAAAACCCCATATAAAACTCCGTTCCCATAGTCCGATTATGCTGGTTCGCGAACTCGTTCAAATAAATGTTGGTTTACACGTTTATACCAAATTTCATCAAACTCGGATCATTTTTGCTCGAGTTATCGCGCCAACGGACACATACCGGTATATATATATATATGAATTTGAACGGATGGTGATTTTGGAACCTAAGGACCTCAAAACGAAAAAGTAAATCGGTCCCGGGTCCAAGTCTTACAATGAGTACTACGATAATAGCTTATTCCCTATATGGGAAATTCGCTAAAAAACAATGCACAAATTAACCAAACCCCTCTCGAGCATAGTTTTCGTGTAACCTATTGTTAATCTGCAGGCCAAAATAAATTATATTTGACCAAACGTTCTTGCGAATAAACCACTGATGTATCACGTTTGGCCCCTGAACTGCACGCTTCACTGGCTGGCTGACCACTGCCACTACTGCCCTCGTGGTCAATAATGAATAAACTGTTTTGTTGATACCAATACGTATTAATACTTTAATACTTTTTAATGAAATGGCGACCATACAAAGTAGGTATTTTAAGCCAAGTATGAATGGAGATGAGTTTAGGATTAGTAATTACTACCACAATTCAATAGTAGCCTATAAGAGTTGATATAAATATGTATAACAAGTATAATCGTTAGACCATAATTCGTAGGCTGCAGTATCTCATAGAACCTGGGTAAGTATAAATAAAATATGGAAGTCTGTTGAAACCAATGGATTTCTAGTGATTGGAAAGGTGAGTTATTAGCCTAAGGAAGTGATGATATCAAAAAGAGTTTTAATTTGTCTGGATTTGCCAGTACCACTGGGGGTGAGTGGGGGTGTGTACTTTGTGACCAGTGTTACGTAATTCAGACATTAGGTTATTTATCCGGTGGTTGTATTTTTAATTAAAGTAAATCAGAACTATTTATGTTCTCAATGTACACTAACTGTCAAGTTGAGCAATCTTGTATCAAAATTGGTTTGAACCTAAATTAAATTAGCATATTGTGATTTGTTGTTTTCTAAAGCTCATGTTTTAAGCTTATCATTTACAGCATATTTATATTTAGGTCATGCAGCAATATAACACCGTTTGGTAGCAACTAAGCTATCGTTACCATCTATCTTCTACATAGGTCCTACTTAATTTAATTAGAGTCTTTTTCACTCGTCCTACCTAGCCAATTTAAGGTAAAATAGTTATCATTTTGCCTCATTTAAACCAAGTTTTGTCCTCTATTTGAAAGCGGAAACTTGTGCTCGGGCTCCTTGTGTTCGTATATAATAATTATAACGCCATTTAGGGTTACACGTGTCCGTCTCAAAACTGTCTGTTCTAATTCCGTTATAAACTGTAGGTCCCTTAGTTGCCATTAGCTGTATGGGCTATTAATTAACAGCTGTGTCTAGGAATGTCAGCCTTACACAAACAAGACTACAAGATCGTGCCACTCATCCTACACTCATCTCCATTCATACTTGGCTTAAAATACCTTCTTTGTATGGTCACCATTTAATAAGAAAGTATTAAAGTATTAATTTATTTTTAAGAGTTTTGTGGCCTTTTATAACTTTGCATTTGCCCGTCCATATCAGGCCTCAAGTCTGTGCGTGGCACTTATCCAGCAAAGCAAGGGATGAACCGGTACAGTACAAGAGTTGAGCTGTATTGGCATTGGCAGGTACCAGGATCTAAACCCACAATATTGCTCCCATGGATTACGATCGCTGCAATGTTGTGTTCTTGTAGATCTCCCGTAGCTACCTACTACTGTAATGCAATACCCAAAATCTAAAACACCGCATGCATTACGATATGTGCGGCAAGAAAGTCAAACAGTCCAGCTACTGTTCGGAGACAACGAAACTCTAGCAAACAGTAATCTGGTTTGTAGATGTATTGTACCTATTGTGTTACAGGTCTACCACATGTGTACTGAGGGAGGCAACCAGTTTAGCTACAAATGTCCCAACACGACGCTGTTCCAGCAGAGGATGCTCATCTGTGCCCACTGGTACCAGGTCAACTGCAGTCGCTCAGAACAACACTACGCCAATAACTTGCTGATCGGACAAAGGGACAAACCTTTTGTCAATGATGACTCCATTCTCACGACAAGTAAACAATCTTACTTGATTCTTAAAGCCTTATGACAGTGAATAAGTATATTTCATCACTAGGACCTAAAGTGACTCTTTTTGACCCGAAGTCTTCTTTTTTCTTTTTTTCTTTTAATGAGCGAGGGTTAAAAGACACTTATTGCCCGTGTGGTGAACTATATCTTCGCAATATTGAATCATTAATTTACAAACTAAGCTAGAAAACGAAATAATGTTTATGTAAAGATAACCTCTCAAAACGACCTCCAGCTTGTTTTCAATTCTGATAATGCAAATAAGCAGCTGTTTAGTAAAATAATTTCGTCTATTACGATTGTGTTACAGTAAATTATACTATTTATATGAGCGATCGACAACAATAGGCTAAAATATCTAATAAATCTGTCCTTAAATAATTTCGATCGATACGATAGCAGCAATCGAAATTTACAACTGTTGATGATACTACAGATGATTTTTACTCTCTAGGGACTAAACATTATTAAATTTTTACTCCCTAGAGAGTAATAATGCTACTGTAGACCCTTCCAACGCACACAATAATAATTTATTTTGCAAAAAAAACAACCAACTTCAAACGCTCTAAAAAGAATGAAATAATTTTAATAAAATAAACTTTTGTAATATTCAAGCTCACGTATTTCAAGTCGGCGCGGCTCTATGATGATTTTTAACACAAAATACTCAAAATTTAAATAGGATGTTCATATTACAGGCGATTATCTTACTAATATTATAAATGTGAAAGTTTGTGTGTTTGTTTGTTTGTTTGAAGTTCAATCACGCATAAACCACTTGACGGATTGGGCTGAAATTTGACATGATGATAGCTCACATTCCCGATTAACATATAGGCATATTCTTATCTCAAAAATCCTTTCGGGCTCCGCCCCAGTGGCTCTGTAGTTCCCCATTTTAACCTTATGAGTATTCATATTTAAAGGGATTTAAAGAATTTAGTCAGTATTTTCAACTAAAAAAGTTCGTTCTATGATATACAAAAGCATTCAAAAGTTATAATATTTACCAACAGGGTGCCACACTAAAATTTTTTTGCATTTATGTAAACAGCTAATTTTAACTAAGCAGCAACAAAAAACTGGGATACGCAATGAGAACTGTCAAAGTAGGATTGTTTACAGTTATGTTTATGTTTTTTACCAAATCAAACTTTTTGAATGACTAAATATGAGCTATATAGGTTATTAATTTTGTCAGCAACAGAAAATAAGGTAGAAAATAGAATTTAAGACAAGCATTCGGTGATGTTTTTAATTTAAAAATGGCGACAGCTGGTCCATATAGATGGGATGTCTACTTCAGTATCCAATAGTGAATACGGTGTACATTACATGTTTTGGTCGAGTTTTCGACCACTGGACGACCACTAGTATATTTTAATTACATGTAAATACCAATGAATACAAACCTTGTAAATACTTCCTTTGATATCCAAACAAAACAATTCATATGTTTTTTTATATATTTATGTTATACAGCCATGTTTTTTTGATTTTCAAAATACACTCCCTATCTTTTAATTTATTCATATTTGCAGTGTGAGAGATAATTCAATTTTATTTTACTTATATAAATTACATCATATTTACTTATTGTTTAATGTAAAACATATTGTAAATAAAACTTTGTTAAAAAAACCGAATTATACACTAATCGTCAAACGTTAAATACCTTTTTTATAGTGACTAAAAAAAATCCTTTTTTCGCTAAGTATATATTCAGGCTCCATGGCAAGAAATAGTTTATTAATCAATATGAAGCAACTGTTTCATGAAGAACTGTCTGTAGCTTTATTTAAATGGTTTCAACTAACAGCTGTAGGAATATTATTATTATTATTATTTATTGACTTCTCTGCACGAATATAAACAAAATAAATGTTGAATATTTTAGGTTTTCAGCATTTTTCACAAAACAAATATTACATTTAAACATAATGTTATATATGGTAACAAATAGAAACTCCTCTGGTTATTTTGGTGGTGGAACAACTGGTAAAAGAATCACAGAGAAATTGGTGAACATACATAGGAAAAAATACATAGCCACAGACAAATTGGTAGTGGGGAAGTCGGTTGAAAACGAATGTTTTCGCTGCAGTATGACAAAAAATTATTAGCTAACCATCATTTTCATCGTTTTTCTACAGATTATCTGGGTGGCCGAGTGCTTAGAGCTCACCTTCAAAACTGAAAGTCACTGGTTTGATTCCAAACAAGATTTTTACCAGACCCAGATTCCGTTTTTCCTTGGGCTCTAAATTTAAAATGATGTCTAACACAGGCTAACATTAAATAGTAACCAGCCCTTACCCCGTTCCATTACAATTAAAACACGTTTTAAAATGCAAATAGTGCAGATAAACACAACAATATTGAATTCATGTTGTTCTCAATGTCAATCAAATAAACTTGCAAAAAACATTTAAAATGTGGAACCCACTTTAATTGGTCAATAATTGGTTAAATAACTGTAATATTTGTAACTCTTTTTTTAATTTTACTTATTGGTTTTTGTTTTACAAAGCATTCACTTAAAAAAATGGGTTTGTTGCAGGTAAGGAGTTAAAAACACTTCAAAATCCAGAAATTCTGCAAAACCTCGGCCAAGCAGGGCGGGAGGGCTTAGCAAGGCGAGGCAAGGCTCAAGCTACAAACGACAATGTTCCAACAAACAGAGTGTTACAAAACAACCTCAAGAGACACCAAGAACCCTCTTTAGGATTTACAGGCACAGCTACTGCTTCTTCTCCAACACCCTTTCAAGCTGCTAACAGAAGAAACCAAGAGGATCTTGCATCATTACCCCTAGCAGGATCTGTAATACCTGGAGGAATCAAGAGTGTTAATTTTTCTTCAAGAAAACCACAGGGCTCTACTTTTAATCCCTCATTTCAATCACCTGTACCTTTTCACCAAAGCAGTACCTCACAGATTCAGTTTGTCAGTAAAGCACCTTTCCAGAGTTCACAAATAACTCCAAGAGTTTCTTTTGTCTCTTCCACATCTCCTTCTAACTCTGTAGATAATACATTTCCCACTACTAAGTCCCCATTTGCATTCACTTCAAAATCTACCACAGTTAAGCTAAATCAATTTCAGCCTAGTGGATTCAACAAACAATCATTTGCAGATTTTTCATCTGAAGCTTCAACATCTAGGCCGGGATTTGAATTTATACCTCCACCAGGTCAGAAACCATCAGTAGATTTAGCCGTGGCTTCACAAGAGAATGCTTTGAGTGGTAGATCGACAACTACCGCTGAACCTGAGGCTGATTCTGAATTTGGAGGGGGTTTACCAGAAATTGAAACTACGATTAAAGCTGTTATAGAACAACCGAAAAATGGAAGTCTTCCTCAGGACAAATTCAATACTTTCATCAAAAGATTCAACCCCTTTGAAGAGCCTCCTCAACCAACAACAGAGAGTGAAATTACAACTGAGCAAACTGAAAAAGAATATCATACATTTATTAACAGATTTGTTCCGGATCAAACTCTATTCTCCACCCATACTAAGCTGGGACAACCAATTGAAGAACCTGTATTCATCAATCGTTTTGTATTAACTCCAGAAGAGTTGGCAAAAGAAAAAGACAGAGTGCAAGTGGATAAACTACACAATCTTTTGCCCCCAGATGACAAGTTAACAGTGAACTTTCCTAATTTTGATCTGATTCCTCCTGTAGATGATTCTACTGACAGTGAGAGTAACAAAATTGAACTCCATCTTCAGGATCCTCGAAGAACACTGTTTATACCGAGTGGGGATGACAATAGCTTTTCTAAAGCAGATGCAGCCCCAATAATTGTTTCCATCCCTCTACACTCTCAGGACAGATCTCCCAATATGTGGTTCAGAACAGACGATTCTACAGATCCTTGTTCTAGGTGCCATCCATCATTCCTTGTCAACAAAGAGACCTGCATGCCCTGTGTCATAATAAGATGATTTAACTGTGTATCTCTACATTTTTGTATATATTCCTAGGTTAATGACTAGGTAATCAGGACATGATTGTGATAATTGTATTTAAGTTGAAATGTTATACACTTCAGGTATATTCATATTCATATTAGCAAACCGTTTTTGAATTATATACTTGACTCTCGTATATACTTTTGGCACTCCCATTTCAATGACACTGTATACATGACAAAACTATAATATTAAGTGTATAAATAATGACTAAAAAATTTGTTGTAAAATATATGTTCTTGGTGTATTAATATCTTAAGATTTATGAGTTACTTAGATATGATTCAGATTGTTTAGTGTCAGTATTATTTTTTTTTTTTTATTTTATTTCAAATCTTCAAACTAGTATTTTTAATACATTTTTAACATAACTTATAGACCTAAGTTGTAAAAATATAGATTTCTTGTAGAAGTTATTATTAGATGTAGTACACCTTTGTAGATTGTATTTAAGAAATGTAATCAAGTGATTAAAGTGAGCAGAGGCTATTAAAATGAGCCATTCACACTTTTGATACTTTTACACTGTACTTACAAAAACAGCTGACTTTAACTCCCTAAACTAACTCCTAACTCCCTAAACGAAGGGACCAAAAATGATTTCGTCTCCCAAGGGATTAAATAAAACAGCTACTTTGGGCCCAACACATGTATTAAAAATAGCTGTTTTTCTGCAGTATGACAAAAAGGTAGCCTACTTTTGGTGTTCACACCTGTTTATTATATTGAATCTAATGACTAGACAATGAATGTAAAACTCCACAACTTACTTATATTGTAATGATGTAATCTGTATTAAAATTGATTTGTAAATAAGTCCAGTTTTTTCCAATCCAAATCCAATTTTTTTATTAAGATTGTTGAGTTTTATTAATAATACTTCCCTCTTGTCTGCCCAACATATGATTTACATCATCCTTGTCATAAACTTAAAGAAAAATTAAATCTTTATAATTTTCTTTTAACTTTAGAGGCAATATCCGTATTGGCACTTCTGAATAAACAATTCAATCGTTCTGGCATACCTACAACATATTCATTGAAATTGGAAAATATACGAATATTATTTTTCAATTTCAATGAATATGTTGTAGATATGCCAGAACAATTGAATTGTTTATTATCTACTAGCTGTAACCCGCGGGCTTTGCCCCGTTTAACTTCTTAATTTTCAAGATTATCTCGTTCGCATGGCTCAATCACGTCCTGGTTGGAGCTCGTTCGCTGCGCTTACATGCCTTCAGGTTAGCTCGTTCGCTACGCTAACTCGCCTCCCGGTTGAAGTTCGTTCGCTACGCTCACTCACCTTTTGGTTGCAAATTAGCTGTTGCCATAAATGTAAAATACATAATAGTGCTGCACCCTGTTGGTAATCCTTGTAGCTTTAATGCTATTGAACATCATAGAACAGAACCAACTTGTTTAATTGTGAAACAGCTGTTAAGATTCAATAATTCCATTTCTCATAAGGATAACATGGGAAACTCCAGAGCCACTGGGGCGGAGCCCGAAAGGACTTTTGAAATAAGAATATGCCTATATGTTAATCGGGAATGTGAGCTATCATCATGCCAAATTTCAGCCCAATCCGACCAGTATTTTTCGCGTTCACTTGTCACAAACATACATCCATACATCCATACATCCAAACTTTCTCATTTATAATATTAGTAGGATAATATTAAAACGAAATAGGGTTTTTTTATTTCACGATTCTGAATCAACCACTTGACGGATTTTCATGATTTTTGTGTTGAAAGAAAGATAATTTTGAGAACTAGGGAATGTTGAAGCCATAATTTTAGTTTAGGGTTTTAGTTTTATAGAAATTAAGTTTTAATTTTTGGAAAGTCTAGCAGCCGACGCTAGCAATTTAAAGTATTTTCAATGCTGGTTTAACTAACAGCTGGTTTATAACTGTCATTGAAATGTTTATGTTACGAGTTGTTTGTTTACAAAAATATTGTTCGTTGGTGTTTGCCTACATACTATTTCACTTTAAAATGTAGGTAGTTTTCCCCTACCGTGATGGATCTTCGTTATCAGGAAATGTGTTATTTTGAACTAAACATCTCAATTACTTGCGTTTAATCAAGTTTTGTAGTAAATGCAATCTGTGTAAGTATTTAGTTTATGCATTGCAAATTTCAACTCATATTTGGGAAATATCTTCTCAGCAGTTTATCGCTTAATTGTTTAAGATATAAGTGGTTTACGTGTTGATACTTCTTTTTCTGTATGTTTGAATGTGAGTATGTCGGCATACTAAAGTTTTGGTTAGTAAAGAAAGCGTCAATCGGTCTCTATAAAACTGTCAAATAAACTGCAGGGTGCAGCAGAAACCAAAATCGACTCATACCATACCAACTATCCCGGTAGTGCTGATGATTCAGAAACTTGGGCACTGACCAAAAAACCGAAAAACCTTAATGCTGGGTTAGATAATAAAGTGCAGAGAAAATATACAGAACAGTTCAAGATAACGGCGCGGAGGTCGAAATAAAAAAGAACAGAGAGCTAAGAGAAATGTGTTAACACCCAAATATAGGGATACTTTCCAGAAGTAGGTAAAGCTTGGATGGACAGGCTGTGCATAAACTTTTAAAAAGTAAATTCCAAGGAGTACCACACGATAGATGGGAAATTTCAAGTTATAAAATGCATCCTCAGACTGGGATCTAAATTTTGAAGAGGCAGGTGATAGAAGAGAATCCTCATAAAAGTTTCAGTGGTCACGGAGGTAAGATAAGGTACGGTAAGTACATAAGTAGTACAGTATGCAATTGGAGGTGGCATGTAACTACTCTACTCAAAACCAGTGTGAATCGGTCGCCAATCTCACTTCAAGATTTTTCAAATCGACACAAATGCTGTTTTATGGTAAAATTATCGGATTTAAAATGCATATGAACATATTTTAGGTCCATATTTGAGTGGAATAAATAGGTGGTCACGTTACATTTGTTTATAAGGTGATCTTCCCCATTAAAACTGTCAGAATATGTGTCTATGCGTGTAAACTAGATGCTCTGAATTATTCCGTTTTAGTTGACAACTCGATTCCCGTACGTAGGACGGGCCACCAGCTCGTTATTATTTAAGTAAATTATAAAGATTTCATTTGACTTTAAGTTTATAACAAGCATGATGTAAATCATGTGATGGGCAGACAAGAGGGTAGTAAATTAATTAACAAATAAAATAAATTTGAAGAATGAAAAATAAATATTAAAAATAAATTAGTAAAATTCCAAAACAAGCTTTTACCGAGAGTAGTCAATATTCCTTTCAATAAAAAATGCACATGTAAAATAATGAAAACCCCCTCTCTTTTGAGATTAATAGATTAAATGTATTCTGTCTTGAATTCATGCAATTTTTCATGGTATGTATATTTTGTATAGGAATCTTCAAACAAAATCGTTAGCGAACGTTAAGTAAATAATTAGTCTTTGTAGTGTAGTGAGAAGTAACGTTCAAAACACGAGTGAAAGTGGACTATTACATACTTTTGACCATATTTAAAGTACTCGATAAATTTTGCAGTCTCCAATATGTAATGACTCACCCTTAGGCACCCCCTAAGTGTAATGAGGGGGCCCCCTTTGGCTTGGTGACCCACGCCAACACCTACTTTGCTTACCTTTTAAACCAGCCATGTTTATATCTGCAATGGTCAAACTACTGCCATAACTCTAATACTAATTTACAACATTTTCTTTACTCAGGTAAATAAATCACATTTTGATTGAATAACAATTTATTATAACTCGTAATATGGTAAACAACGGTTAAGAAAATAGCTATGGACATTTATACGAGATTTTGTTATGTACATATATACAAGTAAACAGGGATGTGAATAGGAATCTTAATAGTTAGTAATAGTAATACATTGGTAAAATATAAACGACTAGAGACACAAGGGTGGACTAGGGGCAGCTATGTTGTCCGTGGAGGGTAGTGGACGGAGTGTTCTTGTACCACGTCTCCGTTCTGCTGCAGCGCAAAGATTGTGATGGTTACAGGCTTCCTGAGATCCAAGGATTGCAGAATAGTGGAGGTGCGAGCGGGGGTGTAGATACGCTCCCACACCTGATCTACTACCACTATCTGTGGAACATTGCAATTATTTCTAAAATATCACATTACTACATTACACATTATAACTACACATATTGGTCTCCCTTAGACAAAATCTGAGCCATGAAACATTAAGTTTTACATTGTTGCTATAGACAAACAATAGAGCAACACTAGCTACTGCTTTGATTGATTGTCTATTTATAATTCACACTAAAAAGGAGCTGCAATAAATCTTCTTAAACAATTTAAAATTGTAACAGTGTAAACCTTCACATGAAGGTATTTCTTACTCGATTATTTAAATGTGCTTTAAATATATGGTGGACGTTGTATAAATTTGGAACACTTTTTTAAGGGAGATATTTTATACTTGCTCTTGACTGTTAAACTATTCAAAATCCGTAAATGTCCAAAATTGTATCAAGAGCCAAAAATCTGGTTTTTAGAGCTTGATATCAAAGATCATGACATTGTCAATAACTTTCAATGGCCAAGCGATTAAAAATGCTTTTCCTAAGGTGTAAACAACATTTCTAACACCTATATAACAGGGACAGTGCTATTAAATAAAAAAAGTTTTATGTGTAATGGAAACATACCCAAAAAAGTTATCCCCCATGATAACTTTTCTAGATTGGAACCCATTAATGACACATTTGTTTCATTCTTACAACATGGTGGTTAACTCCAAAATGTGGAATGTCTGACAAACCTTAAATACTGTAACATTATTGGACGTGGGAGGTGTCCAGGTTACCAGCAGACTGAAAGGATCAGGTTTGTCCACCACAGAGAGCAGCAGTGGGTTAGTACTGGAGTAGCCTGGGTCATCACCCTGTAAACAACACTGTACTGTTGTAGTTGCCAGCAGTCTTCAACTGAGTTACCACTAAACCATACACAGTACCGGGGGTACTTGATTTCTAAAACTTTGGGTATTGTAATTATAACATACAGTGTCTAGAACCTACAGAACCAGGAAGCTAAGGGACCTCCTCTCTGGTAACTTGAGCTCAATATAATGCACTATTATGTGTTGTTTAAGTAAATAGAGAGCTAAAACATTTTAAAGACATACCGATAAAAATAGTTGTCCATGAATATTCTATAAGGCACCTTATTCAAAGTACCGTAAAAGAAAATTAAAACAGTTAGTTGCATGAAAGCCTAAATAGTATTTATGAATCTTAAAACCCAGCCCCCTCACCAACATTTAATAAGTACATCCTACACATCATTTCCCTCCCCCTCCCCAAAAAGCTATCCTAGCTATGCAACTATTCTGCACAAGGGGTGAATCCATATTTAGACCCACCTAAATTTTAATGTGAAAAACATATTTAAGAGTGTTCTGTCCTTATTAAACTGTTACCTGTATTTTTACATAAAATCTTTTTACAAAGAATTATGAATAGTAACAAGTTTATAAGAGCGACTCGCCTCCGAAATTTCAGTGATTGACGGCTTGAGAGTTCCGTTAATGTACTCGTAGAGAGAGATCCGGGTGAAGTCATAGGTGAGGACTGGGTCTAGACTAAGGTTCTTGAGCAGGTCATTGAAAAGCCAGGGACAAGGGCGCAGTTGGTCAGCGAGGCATCGGATCATGTGGTCCTTGACTCGACACTTGGCTCGACACTTGGCTACCAACCCCGACACTATGGAGCTCAGGTCCTCACCCGTCTGTGGAACAGTCAAACATTACAGTTCAAGCAGACCCAATATATCCTTTAAACAGTTAAATAATCTAAATATATAAAAGGCAAAGCCCTCACTGACTCACTCACTCACTCACTCATCACTAATTCTCCCACTTCCCATTTACCTAGGAGGCTGAAATTCGGTACACCGATTCTTTGGGCATTAAATAGGAAAACTAAGTAGTTTTTATTCTGATCGGGCTTTCGGGCTCCGCCCCAGTGGCTCTGGAGTTTCCCATGTTAACCTTATGATTTTTCATATTTAAAACGAATTTCTTAACAGCTGTTTCAATTAAACAAGTTGGTTCTGTTCTATGATGTTCAATAGCATTAAAGTTACAAGGATTACCAACAGGGTGCAGCACTATTATTTTTTTTTAATTTATGACAACAGCTAATTTGCAACCAAAAGGTGAGTGAGCGTAGCGAACGAACTTCAACCTGGAGACGAGTTAGCGTAGCGAACGAGCTAACCTGAAGGCAAGTGAGCGCAGCGAACGAGCTCCAACCTAAAGGTGAGTGAGCTTAGCGAACGAACTTCAACCAGGACGTGATTTTGCCATGCGAATACTTATGAAGTTAAACGGGGCAAAGCCCGCGGGTACAGCTAGTCCTTATATATAATACGTGAAGGCGATTTCTACAAAACACTACTCCTCCGTTAATAATGGACCGATTTTTACAAACGACGTGTCAAAATAAAGTATTTTTTGTGTAGACGCCCCCTTTCACCAATTTCTGTAATAATAATCCTCGGGCTTTGCCCCACAGGCCATCAAAGTTGGAGTTTCTCCCATAAGATTAACATGGGGGAATCTAAATATTTAATTGGAAACTTTGTCCCCACTAATTAGAGAGAACGGCTGGGCGTAGAAACTTGGTAGAGGTGTCCAAAGAAAGGTCTCGGTCTGTAGATGAGTTATCAAAAGAAAAACTAAGCAAAATCCCTTACAACTCTGCCCCAGAAGCCTTTAAAGATCCCTCCACAGAGTTGTTTACATTTTGGACATGTGAATAATACTTTTTAATGAAACAGCTGTTCATTTTTAAATTGTATTTCAAACAACACACATTTATTGGGAGCATAGATCTCTATTAGGAGTTACTGAATTCTACCAAATAAGTATTTGTAATGTTATTTTCTGATTTTAAAATAGATTTTCTTCTTTATCATGTCATGTTTTGTAATATAACGTTCCATTACGTATTCAGTGGAAAATCCTTTTATCACAGCAATTCTTAAATTATTTCTTATTGAACTATCTTATATCTATTGTACGGGTTGATGTCTGCCTTTTTCACCAATTTTGCCTACATTTTATCGTATTATTCTACACATATCAAATATTTATGTAGAAATATCTGCTCTTATCGTGTCTAATAAAATCCAAACATAGAAACCTTGCCTAATATAGTACAGTACCCGTCTTGACAAATTATTTGCACCTGCCTATATTACGGACTTTAGCGCACTGGGTTGGTAACATTATTGAAAATAACATGACATTTTGGCTGTAAAATATGGTACAAAGATAAAATACTATTTAAGCAGCTACTTTCATGACAGAAAGGTCATATTCCTTTTAAACTAGATCACACGATCCTTGATAAGATACGTTGATTAACAATATGTAAACGTAAAAATATACGTAACAGCCAATTTACAGTATTTTTGCTTTTTGGAAATGTCCCATTGCTATGTCATTTGCATTATTTGTTGCCAATGAAGCCGCAAGACCATATGAACTAGGAGGCCCCTAACAGTTCAAGAATAAAAGCCAACTTCACTTCAACTATTTCACTACAACTAACATTCCGTAGAGAGATTATATTGACAACTTTATGTTATTGATAAGGCTGAGACAACTAACTGACATACCCCATGTCAAGGAATTCCAGCTTTAACAGTAACCCCACAATCAATTTCTCAAAACTATGCTAGAGGGTTCATTCATAGGTAAGAAGTGCGATATGAACTGACGCTACGTGACGAAGGAAAAATCAAACTTACACTGTTACGGATATACCTCCCTTAGAAGTTAGAATATGTCTTCCCAAAAAATATTTTCTTTTCAAATAAAATCATCAAGTGTTTCACGATCCACCATTTAAAGATCCACCAATACAATTTTAATACTATTCTTCCAGGTTCTTCCAAAGGAAGAGATACCAGTTAACATACTAAATAACTCCGGTGACGTACGGTATGGGGAATATTTTATTCATTGAATGATCAACTAAATTTGGCAACTAACGCAATTAATATCATTATTGTTTTTATACTAATTACTCTTTAAACAATGCTAAATGCTCAAAATATGTATAATTTCACTAAATGTATCGCAGTTAGATGAATTAACGTAAGCCTTGAAAGTAACCGTCGATTTCGACGGGTTTCACCTAGTCTATATATTAATAGGCAAGCATGTTTCTTCAAAACCTTTTTTTTCAGATCGTGTGCATCATAAGGAAAATCTATGCATACTGTTAAAAAGATATTTTCCTGTAAGTGTGCAGTATCCCTTTATAAATTCAAATAGGCTCAAAATAAGCACAACAAATTAATTTAAAATTTGAAAAAATTAACATGTGCCTTATGGGTTGTTATGCTGGTGACAAAATAACAACAAAATATAAACAGAAAATCAAAACAAATGAAAGAAATTCCAATCATGTCTGTACATTACATATTTATACTTTGGTCGAGCTTTCGACCACTGGATGACCTCTAGTTCTTATTAAAGTAGAGTAAAAAAGATTGAATGGTATTCATTCCATGATATACTCCTAGGAAAATATTTTGGATTTCCAATTTAACATTATAAATATCTAAAGCATTACTACTGAGACATTAAAAGGGTTATCAGTAAACTAATGTCTCCAACAGGTTTCAGTTGTGGCGAAAAGTGAGTTAGTTTGACACCATCAATACAGTACTGTGCTCATTACTTTCCTCACTGCTATTCTAGCAGGTCCCCCATCCTCATGTAGCGAGTTTCATAGTAGTAGCCAATAACAGTGTGAGGGAAAATGTACTCAACATATGAATTATGTAATTAGGTTTTGTGATCGAAGGGGCCAATGCTGTTAAAGTCTATCGATCACCAGTCAATGGTCATAAAAGAGGAAAGGTCTTTCGACATAGATGGTGAAGGGAGTTCACGCAGTTGGTTGTAAACGTTGGCACAGTATTAAAAATGTTATGAACACTATAGGCCAAGTGTCGTCATTCTTTGCCATGAATACATAGTTTCTGTTTCTCTAATAACATTTACTTATTTCTGTAGTTTTAGGTTTTCAAATGTTTTTTTTTTTTCTGTAAGCAAATTAGACAACCACCAAATTTGAGTTCAACTATACTGCAACAAAACCGATCGTCACTTGGGGTTGGAATAGTAGTAGTGTAAAGATAACAGCGCTGATATCAAATTTGAACTAGCTAGCTTGGCCTCAACTGGAGCTCATTAAAGACGTTACTTTGCAAAAACTATTTACTAGAACTATATAAAGTTAGAATCATAATCATAATTAATTAAAAAGTACACAAAGATATATACTTACATTGTTATTAATCACCGTAAGAGAAGAAGATGATTGATTTGTGCCTGAAATAAGCAGTTAACACATTAGCTAATTGGAGAGCAGATCTTAAGTACAATATTTTGTTTGATTTTAACTTTATAAGTAATATATTTTAAAACCAACAAACGTACTAGCTTTTGCAAAACAAATAATACAGGGCTTTCAAGTAAGGTTTCATGTATAATTTTTGATGTGCTAAGTTACAACAAACTCTCTCTGGGCTCTTCTTGTCACTCAGTCTTTTTTATCTACAAAAAAGTATAAAAATAAAATAAACAGAACTTATAGCACAGTTTTCTGAAAAAGGTTGAAGGGTCTCTGAAAAAATAGCTTTTATGAGGGAACTTTTACAATCACAAAACTAAATCGTTACTCAAGACAAGCCTGTCAATATTCCAATAAAAGAAACTAGGATATCCTTCAGAAATATATAGCAGCACATTAAACTCACAGACGGACATCGGACATGGCTATCAACGCTCTATTAGTAGGAACTGTCTGAAAGCACCGTTCTTGATGGTTAAAAATTCAATATAATCCAAAAGTCATTGATACATTGGTGTGTTGTTTTGACAGTCCCATGTTAGCAAATGCATTTTTAAGAGAATCTAGTACCTGGACGGCTCTGGTTTGCTGGGGTTTGCTCTAGGTTATCATCAAGGAGGCCAGGAGAGGTATGGTTCTAGAACAGGAGAGGTGATGACAACAAAATAGCAATAGGATATTTATTAAATTATTTATGTTAATTACACATATAATACTAAGTCTTTCCAGGGTCACAATCATGTTCCACCAATAGGGGGGAAAAACATTCTACTATATTGTCTAAAGTAGAAAACAGCTTTTCTAAAATATGCTTCCCCATGATTATTGTTACCAGTAAGTTGGTTATTATTATTTTTAAGTTCTTCCAGGTTTAAGAATTGGTTTAAATAAAAAAAAAGACCTGTTTTCATAAGGAAAGAGTGTTGCTCAGCATGCCTTTTAAGGGGAGAATTCTTTTAAAATGTTTATTTTATTTTTCAATTTATGCATGTAATCTCTTTTGCTTCTTACTTAGTGCTAGTATGATGTTGGCTTTGCTATCGTTTGTAGAAAAAAGTAAAATAGTAATTTCCCTGGGTCTTTTGCAGAAGAGTGCTGCCCCTCAGTGGCGGATCCAGAGGGGGGCAAAGAGAGTGACCGCCCCCCCCCCCCCCTCGGGCATATATTTTTTACTACACGTAATGTCAAAATTTACGTAAAACCAAAGACGATAATGGTGTTCAATTACCGCGGAGGTTATTCAGGGCCGTAACCACGAGAGAGAATGACAATGTCCACACGACCGGGGGAAATAAACAATATTTTGCTGCGATCGTGGAAGACGGTGCTAATGTTCCGTTGTGAGGGTTATTTGAT